ATTTTCACCCAAAAAATCCTGATTTCAGACAGGACAGCTGCAGCATCAGCATTTCACCCCTGACTGCCCCAAGTTTTTGATACAGTGGACTTCTATGTATTATCTAGTCAACAGAATACCGGGATAGTGAATGTGATGCCAAGTCCTTATACAAATTGCCGGCCAATTGAGAGCTCAAATTGGCCCAGTATTTCCTGACCGCTACATTATAACTAGATGTTATATTCACTATCCCGGTAGTCTGTTGACATAAGAGTCCACCGTATCAAAAATTTAGAGCAATCGGGGGTGAAATGCTCATGCCGCAGCTGTCCTGCCTGAAATCAGGATTTTTTGGGTGAAAATTTTATTTGGAAACCAAAACAAAAGATCGAGGAGACCATTGACTGCGGATTTTCAGTGCGAGTAGAATGAGATATGTCCCGAGGCAATCTGACAAAAATTGAAGTCGGGGTAGCTGTTCTGCCCAAAATGGCTGAAAACAGAAAAAAATCATCCGCGCGCTCTAAACTAGTACGCTAATACTCACACTCTTTTGCTCTTACCCTCCACCTTGTCCAACTCAGGAGAGAAAATGAGGGTGGGATTCGTATGAGGTCCCCAATGTTGCAAACTTATTGGCCAAAGAATTGCTGAGAAACATCTAGCTCAGTTTGTGAGGCAAGATGGCCAAGAAAAAGGAACAATAATAAAATCCATTTTGCCTCACGTATGACCTGACCCCGAGTCGAACGGGGACCCTCTGTTAATACACTCAACTCGCGACATTATGCAACATATAGGCAGATGCACACCCCTTGCTATCAGGTCTGTTTCTCCCAATTTCTATCTTGGTTATGGTCGAGTCCATAGCACCGGTTGAACATTTCAGGTTTTTCAGTGAAAGAATTGGTGAAAAATGTCCATCATTTTCACACTTTTTTTCGCCGAAAACATGAGTGAAAAACTTAGAATGTTTTCACCACTTTTTCATTTTTATTAATAAGATCAATCTGAGTGCAACTCATGGTAAAAGATGAAAAGCTCGGAATACACCGGAAGTCGACGGAAGGCTATCACGTTCCGGGATGTTGCAAAAATAGAAAGAGGAAACAAACTGGGGAGAGAGAAGAAACAAATTGGATGAAATTTCAGAATACCCCTATACTTGGTCCCCAGGTAGTATATAGGTCCAGGAGACCAATCCTCGAAGGATTATGGCCAGGGTTGAGCTGAATGTCGCTATTGCATGGGTAGAACAATGGTGGATCATCGGGCTGTTGTACACCACCACCACTTTATTTATTCACCCCAAAAGAACCAACTTAATAGGGCCCCCAGCGTGCGGCAGTTCCATATTTCCGATAATCTGACATCAAACGCTCAATTGTTCGCTTGCCGACACCTGTCAGTTTGTGGATTGAATTGATATCATGAGTTCTGGCCATCTTGAGGAGGGACCATCTCAGGTCTTGAGATAGCTGTCGCCCGTGGGTCATTAGTATTGAATGGGGGCAGTAGATGAACAAAACTTGAGAAGGAGTGAAAGAAAACTGGAGAAAGTCACTGAAACAAACAAACGGCACGTGGTGGATGCCTCATCTGGCATATTTATAGCTGGGGGCACCTTCAGAACCATTATACAAACATTTTTTCTCGTTTGAGCTTCACGAAATATGCCGCCGTTCTTGGGAAAGGCTCAAAATACACAGAAATAGGCCTGCCAAATAAAACTATTTGAAAAATGCTTAGAACACAAAATGGACCCTAGGGGCATCTTGCCCTCAAAGAGACGATCATTTTTGACTATATACTTGCTAGGTTTCATGCAGTATTCATTGGGATATGGGCTGCACAAGTTTTGACTGCAAAAGGCCAAGTTGACGTGTATTTACCGCCACCACCAACTTTTTTGAATAATTCCGACTTTTTCCCGGGTTTTACAACTTCAGATTGACTCAAACTGTTGAGATCAATGCTGACTACGACATTGACACTTGACTAAGTAGGATCCCATATGTAGAACTTGACTACTGGCTCCGTGTTTGAGTCAGTTTGACTTCAACCAACTGCGGATGGCAGTTCATGGCCATCCACAGTCACTATCTAAGTCACAATAACCTATTGCAGGTCATTCTCAGTCAGAATGAGTCAGGAACTACCAAGTATGTACAAACATGTAAAATGCATACAAGGAGGATTGCACACACTTTAAGACATTACCTCTTACTTCAATACATCTACATTTGCACACTGAATCTCTCGATTAAGTGGATCAATCAGAATATGACCTGCTCTATTCAACCTTGAGGAATTGTAATATGCATCATACACTATTCACAATTCTCGTTGTCCTAAATCTGCTAAGCTTTGCTAGCCGATACATTGATTACACCTTGCTCTGATCTTCGGCAACCCTCTAAGTTGTGAGTCTAGGGTCCTGTTTGCAGTTAGTCTTCTTAAACATCTTGATCATCCTCCCTGCTTATCTCGAACCGATTCATTTGGCAAATTCCATTTATTCAATTCTGACTAACTCATTTCTTAGCACACCAAATTATCCAGTCACATAACAGGTTTCAAGAAGATATGACACAGGTGCTTCATGGTCCCATGTCCAACAAAGAAGCACTGTGAAACACCAATAGTTATTATAGCAGGTTTTGAGGACTGTGGAAGGGGAATGCTCTGATGATACTGCAATATGATGGTTGTCATTGGGTTGCTTCCTACCTAAGTATTTCCAAAAGTTGCACAGGAAATATCCAACACCTGATAGAGGGGTATGTGAGGGACCAATATAAAAAAAAATTCACAATCAGACTCACTGCTATGCATCTTTTTCATTCTCCACTGGGACTGGAAAACTCGCACACCTCTCCAACAGCATGCTGACAATCTCTGTGTGGTCTCCAGCAGCAGCAGCCTCCAAAGAGCTCCCATATTCTCCCCCTGCTGCATTGACATCAACACCCTTTTCAAGAAGCATGCCGACAATCTCTGTGTGGCCTCCAGCAGCAGCAGCCTGCAATGAGCTCCCATAGTCTCCCCCTGCTGCATTGATGTCAGCACCCTTTTCAAGAAGGATGCCAACAACCTCTGTGTGGCCTCTAGCAGCAGCAGCCTGAAATGAGCTCCCATAGAATCCTCCTGCTGCATTGATGTCGGCACCCATTTCAAGAAGCATGCCGACAATCTCTGGGTTGCCTCCAGCAGCAGCAGCCTGAAATGAGCTCCCATAGAATCCTCCTGCTGCATTGATGTCAGCACCCATTTCAAGAAGGATGCTGACAATCTCTGGGTCGCCTCGAGCAGCAGCAGCCTGAAATGAGCTCCCATAGAATCCTCCTGCTGCATTGACATCGGCACCCTTTTCAAGAAGGATGCTGACAATCTCTGGGTTGCCTTCAGCAGCAGCAGCCTGCAATGAGCTCCCATATCTTCCCCCTGCTGCATTGACATCGGCACCCTTTTCAAGAAGGATGCTGACAATCTCTGGGTCGCCTCGAGCAGCAGCAGCCTGCAATGAGCTCCCATAGAGTCCTCCTGCTGCATTGACGTCAGCACCCTTTTCAAGAAGGATGTCAACAATCTCTGGGTCGCCTCGAGCAGCAGCAGCCTGCAATGAGCTCCCATCTTCTCCCCCTGCTGCATTGACGTCGGCACCCTTTTCAAGCAGGATGCCAACAATCTCTGTGTGGCCTCGAGCAGTAGCAGTCTGCAATGAGCTCCCATATTCTCCCCCTGCTGCATTGACGTCGGCACCCTTTTCAAGAAGCATACTGACAATCTCTGCGTGGCCTCGAGCAGTAGCAGTCTGCAATGAGCTCCCATATTTTCCCCCTGCTGCATTGACGTCAGCACCCTTTTCAAGAAGCATACTGACAATCTCTGTGTGGCCTCCAGCAGTAGCAACCTGCAATGAGCTCCCTTCTTGTCCCCCTGCTGCATTGACGTCGGCACCCTTTTCAAGAAGCATGCCGACAATCTCTGTGTGGCATCTAGCAGTAGCAATTTGCAATGAGCTCCCTTCTTGTCCCCGTGCTGCATTGACGTCGGCACCCTTTTCAAGAAGGATGCCGACAATCTCTGTGTGGCCTCCAGCAGTAGCAACCTGCAATGAGCTCCCTTCTTGACCCCCTGCTGCATTGACATTGGCACCCTTTTCAAGAAGGATGCAGACAATCTCTGTGTGGCCTCTAGCAGCTGCAATCTGCAATGAGCTCCCATGTCTTCCCCCTGCTGCATTGACATCAGCACCCTTTTCAAGAAGGATGCAGACAATCTCTGTGTGGCCTTCAGCAGCTGCAGCCTGCAATGGGCTCCCATATCTTCCCCCTGCTGCATTGACATCGGCACCCTTTTCAAGAAGGATGCTGACAATCTCTGTGTGGCCTTCAACAGCAGCGGCCTGCAATGGGCTCCCATAGAATCCTCCTGCTGCATTGACATCGGCACCCTTTTCAAGAAGGATGTCAACAATCTCTGGGTCGCTTCCAGCAGCAGCAGCCTGAAATGAGCTCCCATGTTTCCCCCTGCTGCATTGACATCAGCACCCTTTTCAAGAAGGATGCTGACAATCTCTGTGTGGCCTCGAGCAGCAGCAGTATGCAATGAGCTCCCATAGAATCCTCCTACCGCATTGACGTCAGCACCCTTTTCAAGCAGAATGCTGGCAATCTCTGTGTGGCCTTCGGCAACTGCAGCCTGCAATGGGCTCCCATGTCTTTTCCCTGCTGCATTGACATTGGCACCCTTTTCAAGAAGGAGGTGCAAAATCTTCATGTGGCCATAGTATGATGCTACAATGATCTCTGGGTTTACTGAATGTTGTGGCAATGGTGCCTCCTCCAGCAGAAACTTTGCAGTCTCCACAAGGTTTGCACCTGCTGCAATCCACAATGCAGAAGGCCTTGATGGCCAATCTGGATAATTCCATGGCTGGGAGTCCCAGCTATATCTCCGGGAGAACTCTCCATGATTCAATGTTTGCTTCCATTGAAAAGCCTGATCAAGAAACCTGAGAACAATTTCTCTGAGTTGAACTTCAGGCTGTCCAACAGCATGTGCAAGGCAATACTGTGAGTACCCAACCAGAGGGGGTAGATTTCGCAACTCCCAGGACTCCAGGACTCCCAGGATGAATCTGGATATCCATTGAAGGCAAGGAATGTGAGCAAAGTGCATGTTATCTCTGTTTGTGCATCTGGGAATAGCAGGGCCTGAATGCTGTCGAAATATTGTTGTGTGGTGTAGTGGACAAGTCGCACCACAGAAGACTCCTTGTCCACAATGACAAGCCCAGCACAGACAGCAGGAACAGTCTCAATGTCGAGGAGATACTCCTCATTGAGCCTCTGTGCACCTGGCTTGATGGCTAGAGCTACTGTTAATTCAGAGACTTTCAATGGCCGCTTTGCATTAGCAACCCAAATGAGGGTGGAGCGAGCTGTTTTTCTATCTTCCTCATTCTGGGCTTCAATTCGCTGCATAGCAATATCATAGCTGTCATTAAGACTCCTTGGTAGTTCTTCTAAAGCTTCTCGAACAGCCCCAATTGAGTTCTTTGTGCTGAGAGATGCAATGTGGAGTTTGGCCAGAAGGAACCTGGTTGGAATTTATTTCAGTTGCTTTCCAACAATGATTCATCACCACTCACATTCCATTCACAGTATCAGTGATCTTTGCATGGATTTCCTCCTGTAACATAGGCTTCTTCTGAATGTGCTTCAACAGGCGTGGAGATAACTTGATCTGTGCATTGATATATCCCCGAATATCCTCTGGTGCTGCCTGAATCTCCAGTGTTTCAAGATTGGGAAAGGAGGAGG